GAGTCTCTGAGAGACTGAGAGTCTGAGAGTCTGAGAGTCTGAGAGAATCGGAAGACTGAGAGTCTGAGACTCTAAATAAAGTCTAAAGTCTAACGCCCCTGATGAGTCATGACTCGGGACTCGGGACTTGGAACTCGGGATTCAGGATTTTTAGGTCTGAGCCGAGTCAGCCGACTGTACTTTCAAACACACCCTATGTTCTGCCGCCTAAGCCCAAAGTACCCAGGCCCCCAATGTCCAGGCCCTTAGTGTCCAGGCCCCAAGTGCTCAGGTCTCTAGTGGGGGCAGGGCCCTTGCCCCAAATCCCAAATTAGAGTAGAGTAGTAGAGGAGAGAGTGCGCCATGCCGTGATAAATATCTTGAGGAGTGCCCCACTGCACCACTGCACCAATCACCATATATAGATATTTACTTTACAGTTCACAGTTGAGATCTCAACTTCACACTTCACACTTCACACACAAGAAGCCTGACTCTACGGTAGTCCGCGGTCCGACTTTTTTAAAATACTCCCCACTCCCCACTCCCCACCAGTGGGCCCTGGGCCCCAGGCTCCTCCAGACTCCAGTGGCCAGTTCCCACCGCTCCCCACAGCAAGAGAAGAGCCAAAAGCCAGGGCACGGTGACGGGGGGACCGGGGCTGGCGCTGGAACTTTGGAAGTTCCCGGAACCCACTTTTTTGTTGTTGCTATATTTATGGATTTTAGAGACGACAGAGCCCTAACTCTGAGGCTGGGGTGTCAAAATCCGCCCTAATTTGCTCTCTAGCTAAATAGAACCGATTCAAAATCGTGTTTTTTAAAAGTATTCCCATTTTTCTCATGTTTGCCGATTTCTGACTTTTGTACCTTTCATAACTGAAAATATTGAGAAAAAAATTACATGGTTATCCGAAGATATTAGCATTCGGATATTTATAACGAGAGGAAGCCGTAGCGGCGTAACCGTTGTAAAATCGAGATTGGACAATTATTTCGAGGCCCGTCATTGTTTGAAAATCGGGCCCCGGGAGGCGCGGGTTCTTGCCCCTCTGCATCATATTTCTATTAAAATAAAATAAAAAACCATAGCACTCTCTACTAGAGAGTCTCTCCAGAGTGCTTATGAATTTTCTTTTTGCAATTAAAAAAAACAAAAACAAACAATATAGGCTATGAAAAATCCAAGTATTTTTATTTTAGATATTTACAGTATTTATTTACATATTGTTTTCAATGTTTTGGTAGTATTTATTTTTGTATTTTGTCTACATTTATTCGTTAAAAAAAAATGCCCCACTTGAGCGCTTCTGCCTCTACCACCCACTCGCCCTGACTCTGGTCACTGGGACCCTGAGTCCCTGACACCCAGCGCCCGGCCAGCGCTTGTCGGTAAATAAATATGGTTTTTTGTTATTTTGTTTAAAAAACAAATTTTGTTTCTTTTTAAGGAAAACAAATATATACAGTACATATTAGTCATTTATTACTGTACTCGACAGTATTTTTTTAACATTTTAGTGGAGGATGAATTTATATATCAGCCGTGGTCCGTGGCCCGAGAGCCGCGTGTGGGGATTGGAGTCTTGGAGAAGGGGTTCGGCGGTTCGCACCTCCCTCAGACAGCCTCAGGCATCTATGCCAAGGCACCAAGCCCCACGGACACCCCACGTCCTGTGTTTTTTAAATAGTGCTCTCACTACTTTCTAGAGTAGAGTTGTAGTTGAGACTTGAAACTTGAGACTCGAGAGTCGAGAGTCGCGAGTGTGAGTGGAGAATCTGGATCCTGGAGTCTGGAACTCTGGACTGTATTACATATGTAGTCTGATATAAGAGAAAAGTAATCCTCAAATCGGGTCACGTTGTTGTTTGCGTGTTTCTGAATAGAGATTTTTTCTATTAAAATAGTGAATATCAGATACACTGGTATACGACAAAGACACGTCTTCTTAGCGAACTAGTTTCCGATTCTTAGGAGAATAACATGACGTAAATCGGACTTCTGACTGTAATATACGACATAGAGTCCGTCCGTAGTTTCCAACGGTCTTAATATCATGCCGTAGCGAAAAGTGCCGTCTTAAACTAGCCCAGCTATTATCGTAATATTTTACATTTTTGTCTATTCCGGTTTTGAGTCCTTTTAAATGCCAAATTATTTGCGTGGAATTTTTTGTAGACAAATATAGAATGGTACTCCGAGAACGCCTCGAGCCCATCACGATAAAGATGACAATGACATTCCTGTGTACGTATTTTCTAGACAAATATGGAGTAGAACGTTAAGAGTATATGGAGTTATTGACTCATGGATGTACTCTATAGCACAAAATTAGCCACCAATAATAAAACGCAATATCACACTTATTTTTCTTGAGGTTTTATATCCCACATGTGCAAATTTATATTCATCTGAGTTGAGTCAATTTGAGGGGTTTTTTTTTAAATCAATTCGAGCGGACAGGCGTGCGGGAAAGAGTTTTTAATTTATTTTTTAAATACCATAATTGTTTTGTTTTTTCTGTTTTTTTTATCAAATAAAGCATAATAATAAAATTCTCAGAAGTGTCCATGCAATGATTTCCCGGTTTCATAATGATCATCAGCTTTAGGCCTATTAATAGCAGTTTAGCCCAACTCCTAGGGGTCCAAAGGCCAAACGGCCCAGTAGTCCAGGACTCTTAGCATATATATAGCTACTTGGGCTATATTTACAGCCCAATTGGGCGGGAGGGAGGGTAGACTAGAGACACTAGTCCCCAACTCCCAACTCCCCAGTTCCCAGACCCTAAGGGTCCAGGACCTAGTAGGGCCCCAGGGCCCCAGGCCCCCAGGCCCCAGGGTTCATATTTACTTTTATCTTGTATCACTGTTATGACCTTTCATTTTTGAAGTAAAAACAAACTGGTAAACACGTAGATCTGGTGGGATCCCAACTCCTAGAATCCTAGAGTAGAGAGTTCCAACTTCCAAGAGAGAGGGGAGTGGGGACCATCAACGGGGACTGGGGAGTCGGGAGTCGGGGACTGAGATGGGGCCTTGGGACTGGGGTCTGAGCCCTCTGGGTCCTGGGGTCCTGGGGTCCTGGGTCCTTAGGCTTGGACTCTTGAATGGCGTGGCGGTCGCTAATTTGCTAGTGAAAAACCTATTTTTTTACATAAGTTCCTAGCTTCTAAATTGGAGAAGATCCTGAGTGTGAAGAGGGTGGGCGGGTGAGCAGCGGGCAAGCGGATTTGTCATAGACTATTTACTGCTCGCGGCCCACGCGGGCTGCGGCCATGCCCCCTGAGATATCATGAATTCATGATTCATGACTCATGAGTGATGACACGTACTCCAAATCTCCAATGCAGGTCTTAAAGAGTTCCCAAAAGTATTTTTACCAAAGTTCCCATTACCACTTGCCAAGTTCCCAAGAGTTTCAAGTTCCCACTTCCACTGCCAGTGTGCCCCCCAGGGATAATATTTGTAAAATTTAATACTGAAACCGGTATTCCATGTATTTATTTGAAATTTATTTCAATGTTGCCAGCAGTATTGATTGTTGAAAGCACTTGGTCCGGTTGGTCGTTGCCTCGTTGGTCGATCATCGTATTTCAGAAATTCAGTGTTTATTTGGATCGTAGCGAACAGTAAAAAAAAATTATAGTTAAGTCCATGTTTGGATTTTAATTTTTATGCAGGAGGAGGGCATAAAACATTTATCATATTTTAGCTTACACTCGCATGCCCTCAGACTTCGACATAACATTAAAATCGAAGCCAGGACATAGGAACGATTGTGAAGTCTGTCTACTAATCCTCATCACCTGGCTCGGGCATGCATCGCAAGCCAATGTCATTATTTTAAACAATTTAGAGCGGGAATTGCTCGTGTGAGAGATTCAATGAAGGATTGTCAAATATTTCTCTGCAAATACAGGTTTTCTATCAGGCAGTTTGTATTTATCAGTTTATAGTTAATATACATAAATTTCGAGAGACACCCAAATTATAAAATCGTCACTTCAACGTTATTGGAAAGTACTGATGGATAGGAGCCCATATCTGGGATGCAATATACATTACAGTTTAATTGCATCTTTATAACTAGCGTAACTATCAGTCAATTCTGCGCACACTTCCGGAAAGTAAAAATTTGTACTAATGAGCCATACGGTATCGGTTGCGATGCCCTCTGTGGCGGTTTCCTGTGGCCTACGTTCCATTCCCTATAGGTAAGCAAACGCATAACTTTTATCCGCTTGGAACTGCAAGTAGCTGGATGACGATATGCTCTGCGAGGACAAAATCCTCTCACGTCATCTGTTACCACGGAGACGTACAGTTGACATATAAAAGCTGTAGACAGTAGAGTGAAGAGTCCCTATTCCATTTCTTAAACTTGAAATCTCTTTTCTGTCTGGAACGCTTTTCCCCGTTTGTAGGCCTCGAAGAGGCCCCTCGAGAGATCCTACAAGGAACCCTTGGGTTTTGTTTTGTTTTGTTTGGGTTCATTTTATTTTTTTAAATGGGGTAATAACTGTACATACATACATACATATTTATTTATTTTCTTCAAAAAAATGTACAGTACATATGTATGTATATTATAGTACTCAACCAATAGTATATTCTGATTTATTGAATATTTGGCGGGCTTTTGAAAATCAGAAAAGTGTAGACAATTATTGAATTACATGGTACACTATTTAAAATTTACACTGCACTTGGCAGTCTCGACAGAAATCGCAGATATTCATAGCCTCCTGCCCTCCTCGAATTTGGTGAAAGGTGTACTGTATAGTGATGTATTGCCGTTAATATGGTTCAGAGCCTTCTGAAATAAACCAGAATACGGTGTCTACAATGCGATACCATTGAATCTATCAGCATTGTAATATGACTATTTGCTGTATAGCATACATCGCCGGCTCCCATATGATATAAGTCGGGAAATATATTGTATACACCTCGTTATGCCACATTGTGCACCATCGACACTATCTATGAACCATTAGCCCTTAAGCGTGGGCAGCGTATGCAGAGCACTTGCTGATTATGATGGGGACATCTGTCAACCACCACGATGCCGAAATCGAACTGCAAGCATTGAAAATAGAACTTGTAGCTTTCGAAAGCGGATGTTTAAAAACTTTGGGTCACAGGCTCAGCAAAGCCGATTGTAGCAAGAAGCACCCAGATATGATGCTCAAATATAAGCGTTTCAGCAAGCTGAAGATGCTTACGAATACAAACGCGACAACAAAATCGAAATTTCAAACGGAGAGGGGCGTGATTAAGAGCACGTCAACTCCACCTGGAAATGTGTCAGATACCACAGAAGTGAATAAATCACGCAATACAATGAGTACCAGAGTTGTACGCGTGAAATCGGCAGACACCACAGCAAAACATAAAGTCGAGGATAAGGTAGGCCAATATAGTGATATAACACACAGAGACACACACAAAAACACACCCATACTCCC